GCACTACACATGTGCCGAGCAAAACGAGAGCACGACTATGACCAACGTGAGCGCTGGTAGTCACGGAGCTCGCAGTCGAGGTCAAGTCGTCAACCGTAACTACTGTTTTGTCGCTAGTCTTGTCAGTGGAGCAACACGGAACAGCAGCAATGGTAGTGTTATCGTGGAGCAACGAATGATGACGCTCACCACAAGTTGAGCATGTAATTTTTGAAAAACATTTTTTTGTATTATGATTTAAACGTAAGCAATTCATGCAAACATTTTTATTAGACACTAAGCCGTATCTTTCAGAAATATCAAGTTCTTGAAACTTCGGACATTTGAAAAGCGCATGTGCCGCCCCGCAACATAGACAATCAGCTGTTTTATTTGAAGCATTTGAAGCTATGGCAGTGTTCGACGGCAACGATATAGATTTATGGTATTGTTTATTATTGTGACTATTTCGTGTCCCGGTGGTTTATACAACTGTCCCGATTGAAATCCAGACCCGGAACAATTGCCGGATTGACTAACCTCTAGAACTTTAACATAACTTTGTAAAAAAATTAACAAATCAGAAAAGGTAGGAATTTGTTCCCCGTTTTGCATTTCAAAACGTTTACGTGTATCAGAATCTAAAACACGCGCAGCTAAATAAAATAAAATGAACTCATCTAATTCCTTAATTTTCATAGCTCTAAGAGCATTAACGGTTTCATTCAACACATTGGTTAAATTACGTAAATCGGCATAATTACTGGACTTCAAAGGAATGAAGCAACAAATTTTATCTAAGTACGTTGCGGCCAAAATTCGTTTGTTTTGGAACCGCTCGATAAGTGCGTCAAAAACAATTTTGTAGTTATCAGAGGTAACAGGCACTCCTTTTGCGATTGACAACGCTGAACCCGAGAGACACGTCAACAAATAATGAAACTTTTCGATTGACCTTATATTATTGTTTTCATGTACAAGTGTGGAAAATGTATCGAAGAAAGTTTGCCAATGTTCAATGTTTCCATCAAATTTCGGCAGCTCGAGTTTCGGTAAGCGTGCTTGCGCGTATGGTTTCGTACTATGGTATGAAAATCCGGAAGTCAAACTCGGATCCGGGTCGCATTGCGGATCGGCTCGAGTGCGACCCTCGCTTAGAGCAGCCCTGGCGGCATCGACGGTGTAGTACATGTCGTCAAACGCAATCACGGGCTTCATATCAACTATATCGTCCGGCTTTAATTTTAACTTTAAATCGTTTATTTGATTGGTATACTCCAAGAATTCTTTACGCACTAACTCACTACGCTTAAACCTAGACTCGAATTGAGAGGCAGAAGTTGTATCCGTTTGGATATTCTTCGATAAATCACATAGTATTTGAATTTCTCGAAATGCATATTCCCTTTGAATAGTAAGCAACTTGAGTTGTCTCTCAATTTCACTAGCGTTCGACTTTGCCTTATCTGTCATTATGTTTGAAATTATAACCAATAAAACCGTAAATTTAAAACCAAACCTACTTTTTAACTAATCAATAATAACGCTATTAATAGGTATATATTATAACTACACCTATTGAAACAACGTATCAGTATTGAATATGTGGAGTATAATTATTCACCTACTACCTCCGTGTTTAAGTACAACGAACGGCACATAACGAGTAATTGTAATTTATGCAATCGACGGAGAATAATTCTCCCTAATCATAAAATTATATATTAAATAAATTTAATAAATTACTTCGTATTATCTATATCATTAAAATTAAGGCAATTAAAGAAGTACCTTACCAAATTTTACTTGTAAAAGTTTTTTTTAAGCTTAATTGCTATGAACTGTAATTTTGGAGTTTTCAAATGAATTGAACCCAAAATACCATAGGAAATTCGCGCTCGTACGGACCATTAATTGTTACTATATTATAAAATATAGTAACAATTAATTCACATGTAAAAATATCAACCACATGGAACTTTATTTTTGTATCCGCGGCAACAGTAAATGGCGTCATACATATTTTGTGACTTATTTATTGTTTGTGTTATTTTATGTTGAAATTTCGAAATTATATGATGATTGATTGATGATGATTGACTGATGGTATGTGATCCCAGTGTCTCTACTATCTCTTGCAGTATTATTTTTATACAGTTTCACTACGCAAACTGGCATTTTTTTTATTAGGAAACTCAACAGCATATTTTTAAGAAATATACTTAAAATATATATTAATACACTTAGCCAATGCTTAGGAGTTAGGAGTGCTTTTAGCCGGGATGGAAGATGTGATTTAGATGTAGACAGGCGTATCGCTGCCGGGAACAAAGTCAATGGTGCCCTGACTGCGTTAGTCAAAAGGCAAGGCGTAGTGAAGAGTGCACGCCTTGCAATACATAACACAGTGTTGGTACCGACTTTGTTATATGGCAGCGAAACCTGGGTATGCCAGAAGAAGCATAAAAGCAAGTTGAATGCAGTGGAGATGCGATCTCTTCGTAAAATGTGCGGTGTTACCATGGCCGACCGAAAGCGAAACGAAGAGATTCGCAATACGGCAGGTTTGAAAGATGACCTTATCACAAAAATTGATAAGGGCGTGCTTCGGTGGTTTGGGCACGTTAAGCGAATGAGTGAAGACCGAATGGTGAAGAAAATATATAGCGCGAAAGTTAATATTAAAAGGTGTCGAGGTAGACCGAGACTAACTTTCGAAGACCATGTGAGCAAATTGCTCGAAGAGGGTAGGGTCAAGAGTACTCGGATACCTAGACGTGTATGAATGAAGAAGATAATGAATCTGAAAGAAGCGAAAGAGGTATGTAAGGATCGTGACACTTGGCGATCTGTTCTCTCTGGCTACCCCGTCAGGGATTGTGCGTGAAGATAAGTAAGTAAGTAAGTAAGCCAATAACAGAGTTTCACGACATGCTAAATAACACTTACAAAGCAGAGAGGTAAAATTGTAACTTAATATAATCTAAATACATAATATATTACATACGATTGCAGTATATGGTTCTATATTTGTGATTTGTATAGATTTGTGTTTACATTTAGATTGACAGCTTTGAGTAAAATAACAAAAATAAAATGATCCTCACTGAATAAAATAGAATAAATAATTAGTTATATATATATGTTTTTACATGTTATTTTGTATGCCTTATAGTTCTATTATTACTATAATAACGATATGCTTTTCAAATTGATATTTTTACAGAATTGTGATAATACAGATGGAGTTATAGAATAGATGTACGTTATATGACAGTTACGGCTTCTTAGTTTTAGACAGCTTAAGGGTAAGTTTGCGTTTAAAGTTAGACTTCAAATATCAACATTACTATATTTACTATTATAAATTTTGGGTAGACGAGTCATGACAGCGCATTGAAAAGTGGGTCTATCTAGTACGGTACTTAGGAGTGCAAAACTGGATACCAACGAGAAGATTAGGGCTGTTAATGTTACTGTGAAGGATATCATGCAAAAACACTACTTGTTATAGTAATTCTCGTCTAGATTCCAGCGACAAGAGACCGTATTTAAGGCTAACCTTATTATAGGTTTCACAACGACGCATGCTGGTTTTGTAATTGAGGTGCTTTATGAAGAGTTTTTGTATTCTTTCTAATCTGTTTGTATATAAAGCATATTGCGGCGTGATGTATTTTTGATTAAAAGAATAAAAAGAAGTTTTATTGATACGCAGTTTTAATAATGAGTGATACCACAGAGTACAAATCATAGATAAGTAATTTCTATGTACGAGTAGTACTACCACAGAGAAAGAAAAATTGTTGTCTCTGTAATGAGTAAAGTACAATATTATTATTTCAACACTCTCACCAAATTTGAACTTTACATCTTAATATTAAACAAAAAGGAGTGATCTGAAAATTCTCACCAAAAAAAAAAATACTATTATAACAATTACAATTGCTTTATACCAATTTTACTTCTAAGATATTGAAATTTATCTTTTGATAAAGCTTTAGTAAATATATCAGCATATTGCTCTTTAGTGCTCACATAATTAAGATCTATTTATTTCTCTAAATATTTTTCTTTTATAAAGTTATATCTTATATCTATATATTTACATCTTTTGTGGTAGTCTACATTTTTAATTAAACAATTTACACAGATGGAGTTCTGATTAAATTCATTAATGTCCATTAACAATCTTTTTAACCATATCTTTTGTCGCAGAGCATGCGGCCATGAACTCTGCTTTAGTAGTAGATAATGCTACAATATGTTGACGTTGTGTTGCCCAAGTTACAGCAGCTTCATTTTTCATAAATACATATCCAGTTAAAGACCTGCGTGTGCTTGTATCTTTTGCATAATCTGCATCACTATAAGCTTCAAGGTAACTCTTTAAAGATAAATAACATAAACCATAGTGTTTTGATCCTTTCAAGTATCTCAGTATTTTCTTTACAACATTCCGATGAGTTTGATCATAACAATTCAGATATCTACTCACCAGACTGACTCCATACATGATATCAGGTCTGCTTACCACAGCCAGGTGCATTAGTGACCACACAGCCTCTCTGTATGGTATATTCTTGTCTGAAGCCTCAGTTTCCATCTCCAGAGTAGTATGAGGATCGACTGGAATTTTATTGCAGTTAGCATCTTGCATATTGAATTTACACAATAACCGTTCAATATATTTTGATTGGTGGATGAAAATACACTTCTCTTATTTTTCTTTTAGTAATACTACAAAATTCTTTGGTTCACACTGTTTAATTTCAAAATTTTCTTTTAATTCAAAAATTACTTTGTTTAGTGAGTCTTTTGAACCCAAACATATGTAGCTTATCATCGACATACAGTAGCAAGTAAACTTTATTGTTGTTTATATTTCCAATGTAAACACATCTATCTGCATGACTATTAATAAAGCCATATTTCTTTAGTGAACTGTCAAATTTTTGATTCCAGCACCTTGGTGATTGTTTTAATCCATAGAGTGAACGATAAAGTTTACAAACCTGATTCTATTCAACCGTCAAACCTTCGGATGGCTTCATGTGTAAATCTTCCTTTACATCTCCATACAGAAATGCAGTTTTCACATCAAACTGGGAAATTTCTAACCCATGTTGAACAGCTTCTGAAAGTAAAACTCTGATTGAATCATATCTTACTGTAGGAAAGTAAACTTCAGTGTAGTCAATGCCTCGTTTTTGTCCACATCCCTTGGCACAGAGTCTTGCTTTAAATACTGGACCAGATGGATCATCTTTTATTCTAAAGACCCATTTACAGTCAATTAATTGTACGCCCTTTGGTTTTTCAATTAGACTCCAAGTTTTATTTTCTTCATGTGCTCTCAACTCATCTTCAATTGACTGTTTCCACTTCTTTGCATTCACATTGTTTAAATATATTGCTGCAGAGTAGGTTTCTGGAACATACTCTAATTCTGAAACTTTATTTGCACATATATACGTATTAGCCTGCATTTTAGCCATTCTTTATTTTGATCTTGTTGTTATATTTCGTGTTAATTCTGTTTGATCAATTGTTTTGTCTGGTTCATAAAGGGATCCTTCGTCTGAGTGAAAAAATTCATCACTGCTTTCAGGCTTTGTTTCAGTATCTTCAGATACATTTTCCTATGTTGTATCATTAGTGGTAGAGTTATCTTCAATTGACTTAGGTTTTGAGACCGACTCTGATAATGGTATCATTGCATAATCTCTCTTAACAAAAACTTTCAATGAAAATCACATCTCTGCTTATGAATACTTTTCTTGTCTTTGGATCTAAAAGCCTATATCCTTTTGTCTGTTCACTATAACCAATAAAATCATTTTATTTGTCTTTGAGTCCCACTTTTTGGCATTTCTTTTGGAACATGCACCATGGCTTCGCACCCAAAGATTTTTAAATTAGTAATGTCTGGCCTTTTACCACTCCACTTCTCTTCTGGGGTAAAAAATTCTAACACTCGGGTTGGGCACCTATTTGTGATGTATGTTGCAGTTGATACGGCTTCTGCCCAATACTGTTTTTGCAGTTTAGCATTCAGTAGCATGCATCTTGCTCGATCTTAGAGAGTCCTATTCATTCGCTCTGCCAAACCATTTTGTTGAGGAGTGTAAGGAGCGGTAGTTTGATGTGAAATTCCAGACCTTTTAAGGAAAGTTTGAAATTCATTACTTAAATATTCAGTTCCATTATCCGTACGGAGAGTCTTTACAGTCAAATCAAGTTGGTTCTCCACTAAAACTTTAAATTCTTTAAATCTCTCAAACACGTCAGATTTCTTATTAAATATGCATATAAATATTTTTATGGTAAAATCGTCAATAAAAGTAACGAAATAGCGAGCTCCTCTGAGAGATGGTACTTCCATAGGTCCACAGACATCTGAGTGAATGAGCTCTAGCTTTGCTTGTGCTCGACATCCTTCCGAAGGAAAAGGTATTCTTGATTGCTTTTCTTGTTGACATGAAATACATATTACCTTTTCTTTATTTTATAGCTTGATTCTTGCAGACTCTGTTAGTTTATTTAAATCTTCAAAATTTAAATTGGCCATTCTCTGATGCCATAGATAACAATCATTTTCTTTTGATGCGGATGTGTATGCTGGAACGCTGTGAGTATTTAGCCTGTACATATTATTTATCATCTTTGCAGCGGCAACTTCTTCATTGTTTTTGTTTATTATCTTGCAACCTTTCTGATAAAACCGTACTTGACATCCATTTTTAATGATTTGACTAACAGAAAGAAGATTGGTGGCTAGCCCAGGAACACAGAGAACATTCTGCACTTGAATTGTATTCATCTTGCCATTGCTACTCGCAACATTTAAATTTATTTTTCCGCAGGCTTTTACAAAAAGTTTCTTATCATCCGCCAACTTGATGGCACTAATCGGAGGTGGGTTTTTATCATAGAGCCAATCATTTTGCATAGAATAGAATAGAATAGAATAGAATGATTTTTATTCAAATGGATTATTACATTACATACTTATTGAAAGTCATTATTTTATTTACCACTGGTTCGGAAAATACCTCTGTCCTGGGAAGAACCAGCAAGAAACCCAGCGGGATTTTTTTTTTAAACATAATTTCACTTAACAATAATTTTGTTTATACAATTTTAAATGAATTTTCATAGAACCAGCATGGTGGCGATCACCTTATTCCTATGTGGGGAGTTTCTGTATGCCCGTTGTATGTAGCTCCTCACATTGAAATAAGGTAACCATCTTTCCACAAAAACCCTACTTGGTAACAATTGTCTTTGAAACTAATATTCTGCTCAAATTGACTCATTACCTCTTCCTTTTTCCTATCTTTGCACATCTGTTCATGTGGCTCTGAAATCCCTAATATCTCTAAATCCCACAAATCTGAAAGTTTACTCTGAGCGTGACAATTGAAAGTCATTGAGCATTGTGCAGCACTATAAAAGTTAGGGCCCTGTAATGTCCATCCTTGTATTCAGTGACTTTAACTTTGACCTTAGCTTGGGATCGTCTGCTTTGGGAAGATAGCCACAAATGTCGTCGAGTTCAAGAGCAATGAATTTTGTATAGAAAGAAGAATCTAGACTACTTACATTCACTTCGACAAGACTGTGGTTTTCTGCTGGCTTAGTAACACCACTAAATAGTGAATAACCTAAATTCTCTATACCTACTACCTTAAAGCCTAACTCTTTTACTACGTTTTTCCTAATATACGACCTTTGCGATCCAGTATCACACAGAACACGTATTTTCTTCTTTTTACCCTCATGTGAAACCTCTAAAATCAAAGTCTGTAATAAAATATTTCCGCCTTTCCTAGAGAAAAGTGCTGTCGCTTCTTTGGGTTCCTTTTGTTTATCCCTATAAAGGTCCGGACAAAATATCACTACATGACGTTTACCGCAGGCCATACGTTTTAAAAACGTCTTGCAGTGCTTAGCTACGTGACCTTTACGTAAACAAATTAAACAACCCCTCTTATCTTTGACAGCGGCTCTCTTTTCATCTAAAGACATTTTGAGCCCTTTATTACATTGAAAAATCGAATTAGACGTATTATCACAAAAATAGCAAAAGTCATTACCTGTTTTACTGGAACTTGTCTCCTCTTTCGAAACGATGCAAGCTGCTGTCGGCGGCATATCAACACTGCTGGAAGAACTATAAGTATTAAAGTTAGCGCGCGTCAATTTAATGTGTTCCTCAGCCTCGGCTTCTCGTTTTAAGAACTCTAAAAGTTGCGTTAATTGACCAACATCGTTTACAATTCTAGTTCGATTCCAAACAATTAAAATATTTTCAGGTAAAGCTGATTCGACTAATGGATACAACATCGCTCCGTACTTTTCCGTTGTTACTTTGAGTGACTCTAAAGCGTGCAAATGGGTCATCAACTGGTCGTAAAGCGATCTTATATCCATATTTTGTCCCTTAGCCTGACATAATACGAGACCTAGCAGCTCTCTCACATACGTCTCGATGAGGATACCTTCTCGAGCAAATCGTCCCTGTAGCTGCTCCAGCGCTCTTGGGTAATTCTTGCCAGACGGAGGGTAGCTAGTTACGAGCTCTCTGCTTTTGGACCCCTCCTTCATAGCCTGTATGAGATACTGGAACTTATCTTCTGGTTCAAGAGTCTCGTCCTCGTGTATCTTTTTGAACTGTCCCCAGAAAGATAACCACGTCTTCGGATTGTCATCGAATTTTATGAGCTCGATATTCGGTAGCTTTATGTTTCTCTTCTGATGAGATCCGTCAGTAGCCGCTGAAGATGTATTTGCTCTATCACATTCCTTTCGTAATTTTTCAATCTTAACTTTTACTGCATAATACTTTCTTAAATACGATTCGCATTCGTCACATTCTTCATCAAATTGCTCATCCGTGCAAGAATCGATCGTCATATTTTTTATTTGAATGTCAAAAGATTTTAACTCTTCCAATTTCTCTACACGATACTGAAATTCGACAGTCATCTGCTCAATATCATTCGACTCCTCTATCTCTCGCACTGACCTGATGAATACTCGACGTGTGTATGCCCTTTTACGCCTCATAGCGTCGAGTTCGGTTTGTCCAGGTCTATCCGCTTTCACGGTCGCCATTATGTGGGGAGTTTCTGTATGATCGTTGTATGTAGCTCCTCACATTGAAATAAGAAGATTTCTTAGACTTGAAACATTTAATCTTCTAACAAAATATACTTATTACGAAAAACTAGTCTTACATTTTTCTTGTTATTTTTCGTAACCATGACAACAACTTACAAGATATAAAAAAACCTAAAAGGGCCGTAGACAATATTTATTTATCCTCAACACAGGGGTTATTTTCATTCATGTATTCCTTGATATTATAATAACCCTTTTTGTACAGTTTTTCTTTAATAAAACTTTTAAACTTGTTTATTAACAAGCTTTGAACATGTTCTGGGATTTTTTTTGTAAAAGCGTATACATTGCCCCATAAATGAATTACTAATTCTGTGGAGTCTAGTAAGTGGCATTACAAGCTTATGTTTGTTCCTAGTGTTTAAGGTATGAACATCCTTATTCTTATTAAAGCTATTTATGTTTTTTATTTACATACATTACATTTACATAAATATATTGCGATTTCAAAGTCATATGCATTGATGCTCCAGAGTCTATGTACCACCCATTATCATTGCTTGTTGTTGCAGAAAATACAGCAACATAATTGGTACTATTATTACTATATACATATTTCAGACTATTGTTTCTTATTTCGACAATATTTACTTACATACCCATATTTATTGCACGTATAACACCTGGGACCTTTAGACTTATTGATCTTGTCTGAAGCTTGTTTGGCAGTCTGCGACTTATTTCCATTGTTTTTATTAACATAATATAAGGCATTAGATTCAGAGTTTCTCACATCTTGAAGGAGTTTAGTTTTCACAGAGTCAGCTGATATTGCCACACCGGAGCTTTCGAGGGCCATAATCATCGGCTGATAGACCTCGGGTAAACCAGTTAGGAGCAAAGTTCCCAGCCATTTATCATTTACATCAAAATCAATATTTCTTAATTTATGTGCTGTTGACATAATTTTATTTACATAGTCTTCAATATTTTGGCATGTTTCTAGTTTTGTGGTTATCAGATCTGTTAATAAGCCAACTCTGCGTGTCAATCCTCTGTCATCAAAAGCCCTAGATAAGTTAGTTCACACTTCTCTGGATTATTAGAAGACATTTTACTGTGCACAGAAACACGTGTTGACTTGTAGATTATACTTATACGGAACTACTAATATGACAGTTTTACTTTTCCTTTTATCACTTTTACTAACATTTGGAAGAAATAAGGTGGACTAGGCCAATAACCTGATGTATTTTTGATTAATAGAATAAATAGAAGTTTTATTGACACGCAGTTTTAATAATGAGAGATACCACAGAGTACAAATCATAGATAAGTAATTTCTATGTACGAGTTGTACTACCACAGAGAAAGAAAAATTGTTGTCTCTGTAATGAGTAAAGTACAATATTATTATTTCAACCCGGCGGCCATATTGAGCTACCATATTTTAGAATACTGCGACAATATGCGTAGTAGATAGATCTAAGACTGCTTATGTTTTTAAAAGGTTTACAAGTCCTCATAATGAGCCCCAGATTGCGAAATGATCTATTTACGATATGGTTGACATGTTCGGCAAACATCATTTTAGAGTCAAGGAAAACACCTAAATCCTTTACTATCTCAGTCCGTTTTATGCCTTCGCCTTTAGAGTGATACGGAAAAACAATTTTATTTTTCTTTCGGCTAAAACTGGTACATTGACATTTAGTTATATTTACTGTTATATTGTTCGGGTACAATATGAATGTAAGTTATCCAAGTCACGATCAATTAGTTCACAATCTTTAATCGAGTTAATTTTCATGAAAACCTTTTTGTCATCAGCGTTAATTAGATGATTTGAAAATTCAAAACTATGGTTGATATCATAACAATATAATAGTATATATATGCACAATAGAAAAGTGGACCAAGGTGTGATCCCTGAGGAACACCTCATGAAATTTGTATGAAATCAGACTTGAAACCGCCAATGACAGCTTGAGAACGATTAGAGCGATAAGAGGTAGTCCTTCTTAGTAAGTCACCATGAATTCCAAGCCTGTACAATTTGTCTAAGAGGATGCTGTGATCCACATTGTCGAAAGCTTTTTCAAAATCCGTGTAAATCGCATCAACCTGTCTACAGTCTTCCATCCCACAAATAACATAGTCACAAAATTCAGCTAAGTTAGAAATGGTAGACTTTCGTTTTAAAAAGCAATGCTGATGATGTGAAATGCTTTTTATAATTACAGGATAAATGTTGTTATAAACAACTTTTTACATCATTTTACTAATTGTGTTTAAAATAGAAATGGGACGGTAATTACTTATTTCCACTTTTGAACCCTTCTTGTGAATCGTTAAAATAAATACGAGTACTTTTTTCCACAATCTAGGAAAGACGTATTGGTTTAAGGATGTCTAAAATAATAAATATATTGGATAAGCTAATGACTCAGCACAGTTGCGCAAAAATACGTGTGCTACATCACACCCAGGGCCTTTAGAGAAATCTAGCGTCTTAAGCATATTAAAAACGTCATCCCTTGTTACGGTTAGACAGAATATTTTGTCAATGGTGCAGCATTCACCGTCACTTTTTGCAGATCTAGCATACTGAGAGCAAGATAACATACTGCTATTGTAACTATTAAATTCAGTACATATAGCATGGCAATGGGTAATGAACTTACCCTAATAACTAAATTACTTGGCGTATCGAAAACTACTACGCTTGGAATTAACGTATGACCAAAAAGCCTTGGGAGTGAGATGAATCCTATCCTCCACTTATTAAAAAATTGTTGCTGAAATAGTCTATCACGAGAATATAGCAAAGCAAACTTATCGTAATCACGGGGATTCCCAAAGTGTTTCCATTTATTATGTATCTTGCTCTTTTCACGTATGACTTTTATTAAAGCAGAGTTATACCAAATGCGATAATATTATTTAGTTCTAGTTTTATTTTTTAAAGGTACAAATTGATCAAAACATTCTTCTAATTTACTGTAAAATAATAGCATAGCCTCGTCTATAGATTTATTCCACAGCGTATAATCCCAATCAGTTTGCATAAAGAAATTATTAATTGCAACATAATCACATTTTTAAAAATCACGTGTGATGACCTCTTTGAACGCGGTCACAAATAGATCAGTGACGTCAATAAACAAATAAGGGTGATGTTTGTCCTCAGTCAAAAGAGGGGAAGAACATCTTAGAATTTCCGTGTTTAGGTTGCAGAATACTAAGTCTAGTGTACGTCCATTACCATTTAAAAACCTATTAAATTGATTTAAGCCCAAGTAATTCATACCCTCCACAAGCGATAGTGCTACATCCTGAATTTCCATACTCATATTATGAAGTAATTCGTGATGACCATCCTGCCATTTAAAGCACGGAAGATTGAAGTCACCCACCAATAGGCATGTGTCTTCTGGGTACTGCTCAGTTAATGATGTAATACAAAATTGTTTACTTCATTCAATTGCGATGGTATCAGCATGTTTCAGATAGTAGCAGCAAGATGCACGGGAAAGTTGATCGATTTGGTTCAATTTATTATTCAGGGTGATAATCTCGCAACGCGAAAAATCGTTTTCTTTTTTTATTGCCAATATTTCTTGTTGTTGAAATTTAAATTAGTCTGAAATCTTATCGCACTTGTCACTCATAAATTCAATAGAGCATTTATGATTACTTATTTGTCAATTAATTGTGTCAAGTCCGTGATGCAAGACTTTAACTCCGTTGCTATTTCTTCGCGAAGTATTTCTCGCAGTTCTGAACGACGCACATAATCACTTGTATGATCTACAATGATATTAGTAGCAACTTTTGCAGGCGCCATTCTTCGATCGCCGATTCCTTCATTCGCCGTTGACTTCGGATTGTGATCAAAATTAAATACAACACTCGGTACGACCACCTCACACATTGGCTACAACGCGACTGGCTCAGGTACGCCGACTTCGGCGTAGATAGTATTTGTTAGTGCATTTCACAAGAACGCCGGCGTCATTTAGTCTGAGCGCTCGAATACCTATTAACAATCTAAGCATGCTAGACTATTAAATTATTGTCAGAAAATTAAATACCAAATGTTAAAGAAAATTTTTAAAATAATATATAAGTTTTTAACAGTGGTAGAGCCACGCGGCAGCTTTTGCTATCGCACGGATGGGCCGGCTCGAACCGGGGTGGTACCACGACCTCACAGAATACCAGCGTGAAGTAGAGGTTTACCTCTGCGTTTCGCTTGGTGAGTGCAGGTGGCCGGAGGCCCTTTTTACTGGAAATGAGGCATTCCATCTTAGTCCTCACGGGTGACAACGCATCTGCATTTTGATTCGCAAACGAGGATAGATGTAGATGTCTATGGGCCGCAGCAACCACTTACCATCAGGTGGACTGTGTGCTCGTTTGTCACCCTTATCCTATAAAAAAAAATTATAAAAACTAACTATTTAATATCCTCCATTTTATTGTTTTATTTCGATGTTTATAATTAATTTTCTTGGTTTTATTTTATAATAGATTTGCTATAACTATACATTGTAAATCGCTATATTCTTTCATACGCAATAGCATTCTATAATGCAAAGTACGTTATCACAAAACATATCTTTATTAAATGGAATTCTAATTGAAGTATTATTACTGCTCAAATTTTCTCCTGCGTAATCCGATTTATGGAACATTATCGTATATTACGTAGTATTCGTGGTGATTTGCATAGATGGGTAACTTCATACATAAGTAACAGAAGGCAAGCAGTGTTATTGGGTAGTGCTCGTAGTGATTTTGTTTCGGTAACATCTGGTGTCCCACAAGGCTCAATCCTCAGACCTTTGTTCTATAACACCTATTTATTTGACATCGGTAACTGCTTCTATCATTCAAACTATTTAATGTTCGCAGATGATAAAAAAATCTATCTAAAAATAAAAACAATTGATGACTGTGTTCTGATTCAAATCGATTTAAAAAAACCTAGA